TCTCTCTCTCTCTCTCTCTCTCTTTTCCTCCCCTCCCTCTTTCCTTCCTTTCTTTCTCTCTTTCTCTCTCTCTCTCTCTTCCTCTCTCTTTCGCATGCATTCGTTCAACGTGTGACGTCGTCCCGCTCGTTTCTCATGTTATCCTCTTTCTCTCCCCTCCCCTCCCTCTATCTCTTTCTCTTTCTGCCTGTTGTGCATCTCCAGGCTCCACTTAGCGAGACTGCATAATATATCACGCGTGGGCTGCTTTTACACTGCACACCTACGCCCGGCGTGCAGCGGCACTACGACACGACGTTTACGTGCGTGCCATGTACGCACGCGAGCAGCGGCCACGTGCACGGGAATGGAGGCGCACATCGCATTTCGCCGGCGTGCTCGGTGCATTTCGTCGCGTCCGTAAATCGACTTCTCACGGCTCGACTGTAACGGCTGTATATAATCGGCGACGGAAACGTCGTTCCGAAATTTTCTCCACGCACCGAGTGCTATGCACTTTCGCTGACGTCGGCCTGACTAACTGTAATCGCAGGATATCGCGGCCGTCCGCGTTTATTCTGACTTCCCTTTAGAAATATGTACGTCACTTTTATTTTATCTCTTGAAATCCGTTTGAAAATGTAATGTTCTAACGAGCGAAACGCAAACGGAAAAGAAAACTCGGATGAGGAGAGCACGAGGAAACAAATATATTCCTCCAGCTGATCACGAAAGGTTCGGGGATAAGAGGTAAGGACTGATTTTTGCGGCAATATTGGGAGACCCCCGAAAGAGCTGATAAAGACAAAGTCTACTTCGAGTCCTGATCCCTTGGGGAAGAAAATATAAAAAAAAAAAAAAAAGGGGAAAGAAAAAACAATACCGCGGAAATAGGCGTGATTTTTTCGTGAAAAGGGTAATGACAAGGGATAGGTGCGCGGCGGAGGAGCGTTCTCACGATTACAGGAGGAAGCAACCCTTTGCCGCGCGAACGCGTCGCGAGGGCATGCGTGTGTGCGGGGGCGCTATGTCCATTACGCTTATTACAACCCCCGAGCGCTCCGCCGCCGCCGCCACCGCCACCGTCCTTTAACCATCCGCTCCCTCGACCCGCCGCCACCCACCCTTTTACGTGGATGAACATCGATCGACACACGACCTGGAATAGGTCGGCTGGCTGCGCCAGTCAACGCGCCAGGTAACTAAATTGCCCTCGTTCTCGACGTCCCGAATTTGGTTAGACCGAACGTCGAAACTTCGATAATGTTCGGGCACTTCCTGACGGGGAACCGTGCTCGGTGGTTGGTTACCACTCTCTCGCGGTACCGACGCGTCCGGCCAGCCTTTTTGCACGTGTCAATCCATAAATTGTCTTGCGAGACGGTTGGGCGAATTGCGCGAATGTCCGGTGAGTTAGTGCGAATTGCGACACCAGAATGGAGCATTGCATATATCGTCGCGACGATCGCCTGAGATTGCGTCTTTTATCGATTTTCATCGTTAGCTATGGTACAATCTATTGATTATCGGGATGTATAGTATGTTGTGACGACAGCCGTGCGCACCGGCGAACGGAACTACTGCACGAGTTACGATTCACAGGTGTAGTTTTTCATCGAGTTGCACGTTGAGAAAAAAATGCTTCACACTTATGACTATAATTATATAATCGCACATAGTGAAATAAAATAAATAATTATACTTGGAAACACATTTTTGTAGCAAGTGATGCTACACAAAAAAATAGAATGAAGTAAACGTGATTATCTGTTTTTTTTTAAGCCAGTTAAATTAAGTAAAATATTTATCCATTTAAATATATTTTAATAGCTTGCAGAGGAAATATTTACTTGAACGTAGTAATACTTTAATTTATAAATGAATTACTGAATGTTAGTGTAAAATGGTTCTAAATTTGAAAGAGCATTTACTAGAATTATGTAAATACTTCTTATTCATTGAATAAACCTAGTGGCTTTAAATTCATGCTTTTCTGTTCAGTACATATTTTTAAAAAATAAATTCTGATATTCTAAATATTACGAATTTAATATTTTTGTTGCAATTGCTCGAAATGCATAATGCTGCTATTGCTTTTTTGTTTGAAAAACACAAGATGTCGAAATTAAATTTAAGTCAGGCATATGAGAACCGAACGCTAGATACAAGCGCGAAAATAATTTGAATGATATCTCTACGCGCATAGTACGACTAAAATTCGGCAAATACAGACGTTTCGAACCTCTTTCTGGATCGAAATTTTTACTGTGAATCAAATTTTTTTAGTTATTATACGCGTATAAAGAGAATGTTATCTAAGTCATTCACACGCTTATACTTAACATTCGACCATCCTAGGCCTGTTTCAAATTTAATTTCGATTTGTTAATCTAAGAACGCCTTTTTATCCTTAACTTTAACGAGGGATATATTTAACGCCGAGAAAATGACAGTAATTTTCGGCTAGATAAACAACTCTTTCCCCCTCGGTGTAACATTCCCTGGGCTCTCGCGCTTCGCTTCCGCCTTTTGTTTCTTCCGAAAAATCGGATCGGTTTCCCTAACTGCTCGCAGAGCACCCTTTGCCCTCCAAGAACGACGGGATAGGCGCGGGAGGAGGACCAGGAAGAAGAGAGCGGGCACGAAACCCGATCGTTGTTTACGCAGTGCGTCGTAACCTTCCCCGCGCGTAAGCAAAGCGCCCATCCACCCACCCATCCATCCATCCATCGCTTCGAGCAAACACACCCCGCCGTTGCCGCCGCCACGGCGGTACCCTAAAAGCGATATTCGGTTCCCGAAGGCCGCATCCTCCTCGGGGTTGCGTTCGCGGGTGAGTTCGAACTCCCGTCCTTTCCTCGAATGAAAATTTCTCATAAGAGGGACACAGCCAACATCGAAAATGCGCCATGGACTTGGAATAAAAGAAAGAGAACGAGAGAGAGAGAGGAGAGAAAAGACAAGCACAGAAAGGAAAGGAGAGGAAAATAATTGCGAGGAGACGCGAGAGAAACGAAGCGCCCGCTGGCAGGGGCGCGGCTGCTGATTGCTGTCGCATTGTACATCGGCTCCTCGTCCCACTACGAGGACGGGCAGCATTGTCGCGTGCATCGTGTGTCTGAATACGTCGGCAGGTCGACTACGAATGACGTGGGAGGAACCGAGCGCGACGAGAAAGACGCGCCGAGGAGGCACCGCGGGAGGGTGGCGCGGGGGCGAAAAATTAAACCCCAGAGACAATGGGTCAAGCGTCCATAGAATCGGAAACACCAAACACGCCCTTGCCCTTCTGTCCCGTCTCTCTCTTCTTTATGTTTTTCTTTTTTGGGGGGCGTCACGCGCGCGTCCCGATCAAGCGGAGGTAAACGGCGGTGCGTCGACCTTGCGTGCTGACGGCTCGCGGTTTAATATTGATATCGTCGCGCCCGGAGTCGCGAGACAATGTCACGTGACATTTTCAAAGGCGAGCCATAAAATGCGTAATTTTGTCGCTCGTCATGACATTCAGCAATAATGATTCGCATTTACACGAGTTCACCTCGAGTCTTGTACTGCTTTCGTGAATTAAAATCTTGTGTATTGAGCTTGCAAAAGTTTACCGTATTTCTTTTACTTTATTAAGAATAGTAAAAATGGTAATTATTAACAATAATGCGAAACAGTACACGGAGAAATAATTTGATGTCGCGGCAAATTCCGTCAATTACTATGTGGACAGCAAAGTGATTTGTTAAAAGTGTTAATTGTCATTCGTTGAATATATTTTGCTGAACTACAAATTATTGTACTATAAGAATAAATTAGTAAATGTGGGAAAACACTATTTTGTTCTAACAGCAAATTAACGGGTCCTAAGGACAAATTCACTCGACAAAATTTTTCTGTCTTGACAACAAAACTGTTCCTGCTGTAA